AACTCTACAAGCTTCGAATCTCCAACTTAACTAAATGATTTAGCTACAGGAAATAAAAGCGAAAGATTTTTAGAAAAATGGAAGAAAAAAAAGGTTTTGAGTCTTAGAGAATTTCTCTCTGACTTCTCTTTAAAATTTCTTAAATTATGAACTTACGTCTTAAGAAAAGCTTTATATACCTTTCCTGAAGCTGAGACAACTTAACTCTGACTAAACTACCTCAAAGACAACCTAACTTTTAGAGTCCCTTGACTCCAAAGTTCTAAAATAACAACATTTACACCAACTCAAAACTAAATGAACAATTAACATATACTTAAATCAAGCACATGAAATTAATAGTGTTACATTATCCAAAAATGGATATTTACACATTTTAAATATCATATTATTGTAACTATTTAAACCCGATATATATATATATATATAAAGAGAGAGGATTCAAAAGGTACACTACTAGAAAAATTAAAATTAGAGAGGGAAAAAATCCGTCACTAATCTTCATAAAATCCGTCACAAATAAGTTAGTGACGGAATTTGTGACGGAAATGATTCCGTCACAAAATTTGGCGTCACAAAATATTTAGTGACGGATTATTTTCTCCGTCACAATTAGTGACAGAATTAAGGCATCACAAACAATATAATTTCTGTCACTAATTTGTAACAATATATGTTTAGAAATTAATAAAAATCCGTCGCAATTTGTGAGGGATTAAAAATCCCTCGCAATTTGTGAGGGATTAAATCCCTCGCAATTTGTGAAGGATTGAGAGGTATGAATCCCTCACAAATTGTGATGAATCCCTCGCTATTTGAGAGGGATTAAATCCCTCGCTATTTGAGAGGGATTGAGAGGTATGTGAGTCCGTCACAAATTGTGATGACACAAAATCCCTCACAAAGAATCCCTCGCTATTTGAGAGGGATTAAATCCCTCGTTGTTTGAGAGGGATTGAGAGATGAATGAATCCCTCGCTATTTGAGAGGGATTAAATCCCTCGCTGTTTGAGAGGGATTGAGAGGTATGTGACTCCGTCACAAAATCCGTCACAATTTGCGACGGATAAAATCCGTCACTAACTGGGTTGTGAATCCCTCACAAACTGGGCATCTTTGTTGACTAAATTTGTGATGAATAATTGCGAAATCTGTCACAAACCGTTGTACTGAATGAAATTCATCGGTGATAAATAAAATCCGTCACAAATTACAAATTATTTTTTCGTAAATTTGAGAATATATTTTTCTCCTATAATTGTGATTAACAAATAATTTATTAATTAATCAAAGAAGTTGAATTTATTGTGTAATTGTTTAAAAAATTAACAAAATAAATAATTAAGAAAAATTTCTCAATTCTATAAAAACATGTAACTAAATACAAATAATACAAGAAAGTCAAGCATACCATAGATACAAATAACACCAAATATAACAAAGTATCCCTAATGTAACTAAATGTGAATTTTTCAAAACTTATCATTAAATTGAAAGTTCCTTACTCCTATATCATATATACAAAAAATTTATATTAATCAAAAGTGATTTGATATTTCATTCTTATAGAACAAAATGAACGTAATATATATATTTTAAAATTACTAAAATATAAATACTTTGATTACTTTAAAATTGTTAAAATTTTAACAAAATTTAATATACACATACAATATGATATGAAGTTATAGGTAGCGTTTGGAATACACGTTAGAACGGGACGGGACAAACATATGAGTTTTGTTTCCTGTTTGATAAAATTAAAAGGGAGAACAAAATCAGACACATGATTAAAATAGTGAAACACTTTTGTTTCCTAAAAAAGGGTGGAACCAACTAGTATGGGACAAAACATTTTATTAAACATTTTTTAATGACAAAATTACCACTTCTTATCTTTATAACTCTTTCACCGCACACCCAACTAAAAAAAATAAAATTTTTGGTGCAATTATTTTTCGTCTATTTACCGCTCTTTTTCCCTCTCCTTGCACTGTTCATTGCTCCCACTACATACAACGACAATACAAGTTTTTTTAATCTTTTACTGTGCTATTTGCATCATTGAAATTTTTGTGTTTTGCTAATTGCATCATATAAATTACTGATCATTTGAATTACTATCATTTGCTAATAGAGAAAATGTTAGACCCATTTAAATCAAATCAATGTTGTTATATATATATATACGTTGATTTGATTTATATAAATCAATGTTGATTATATATATATATATATATATATATATATATCAACAAGTAATTTAGTATTTCTTTTAGTAAATTGGATTTGTGTGACTGTTAGATTTGTTGTACAATTTTATTTTGGTTTTTTAGTATAGGCAGTGTTTAAAAAACCGGCTCGAACCGGCCGGTCGGACCGGTTGGACCGGGAACTGGTGATCCAGCCGGTCCGAATCTTAAGTTGGATCGGTTATGCAGTCGACCCGTTTTAAACCAGATTGAACCGGTGGATTTTCCGGTTCAACCGGTGAACCGGTAGGTCAAACCGGTTCAACCACTTTTTTTTCTTATTTTTTTTAAAATTTTTTTAAGGGACCATAAACCACAAAAATAATAATGAAAATTGAATCTCTTAATGGAAGAACAAATATTCTTATTAAATATAACAATGACTACTTGTTCTAATGTATTTGTTTATAATATATACAACTTAAATAATTTTTATAGTATATTATTAATTTTAAATTATATATTTAATAATATAATATCTATGTAGATATTACATATATTATTTTGTGATATCAATTGCAAGCATATTATATATGTACATATTATTTATATTTTTAATTTGTATTAATATACCGTTTAACATGTAATTTTTTTATGTATTTTTTTACAAAATAAAAATAAAAATAATTTTAAATAAGATAGAAAAATTGAAATTTAAAATAATATATGAATTTATTAAAATTTATAAGTATAAAATATATTTAATATGAATATTTTTTTAATAAAAATAAATAAAAATCGAGTCATGCGGTTCAACTAGTGACCCACCGGTTCAACCTTTGACCCGCTGATCCAGTACCTTAACCGGTTCGATGACCGGTCCGATTTTTAAAACTATGAGTATAGGCATTGAATGGAACATTTTCGTGTTTTGGCCTTCTTTTATTGTTGAAAAATGTACATTAATATTCTTACAATGTTTGGGACAACACTTATATTGATTAATGAATTTGTTAAAAAAAATCAAGAATGACCTTTAGAGCATAGTAGTCACATTTGCACGAGACGATGTAGTAGATAAAATTATAAGAAGCAATATTTGATAGTAGTTTTATATCTCTATTAATGTTTCAAATATAGTCTTTTTTAAAATTAACTCTATTATTATTAAACAATTAAGTACATGTTTATTTTTATTAAATTTACATGATAATTTTTTTAATTATATTATTATTAAAATTTTTTAAATTTTTTAAAAAATAACATAAGAGGAAACACTCATACATATCTATTTACATATTCACACATGTTTAATTATATATGATAAACATATTTGTGAATTGCACATAGTGATGAGACCATACTTTGGATATATAGAGTGAATCTATTTTATAAAATTAAAGTTTAAGTTTAACTTAACCTAAAATCTATTTTACATCAACAAACCAATAAATTTAACTTAAATAAGTCAACAAATCTACTTTAAAATATGTGTGCAAGTTTTTTTTTAATTTACATAATAAAAAATAGTTTATTCCATTATTATTAAAACTTTAAATTTAAAAAAAATTAGCGTAAAAGAGACAAAATTACTTTCTTTTTTCGTACAATAAAAAATATAAACACTCAAGTGTATTGAAAATGTAAAAAATATATATAATTTGTATTTTAGTCTATCAACAATATTTGTTCATAGGGTGCTTATGGGTTGAAACATACATTACTACAAAATTTTTATTTTATTTTATGGTGTTTTGTTTTATTTCCTATGATATTGAATCTTGATGTTTTATTTTGTTTTGGAGATGAGAACAATGTCGTTATTGTTATGATGAATGCATTTATTTAAAATTTTACAAGTGAAAACTTTAATATTATTATTTTTATTTGAAACTATTTTATATAGTAATAGTTAATTATATTTTATCAAATATTTAATATTTACGTATTTAAAAAATAATTATAAAATAATATTCTATAAAATATTAATATTAAATATTAATATTAATATTTTATAAAAATATTATATAATAATAATAATCATAAAATAACAAATGTGAAAAAATGTTCTATTATGTTCTATTTAGTTTTTTTTATACTCAGTCAAACATTAAACATGATAGGGATATATATGTAATTAAACATAATATTCTATTTTGTTCAACAAGCACTAAATGCAATATAGAACACATTGTTCTGTCTTGTTTTATTGTTACCAAACACAATATAAATAAATTATTGTTCTGTTCCATTCCATTATGTTTCGTTCTACTGTCAAATGCTACCATAGACACATATTCAATTAATTAGCTTTAATCAAGTAATAAAATTATTTAATTTATTTTTTTAATTATTATAAAAAATTAGTAAAATAAAAATTATACAAAATATAATAAATAGATAATAAATAAATAATATTTATAATAAAATAAGTTTAAATATATTTTTAATCCCTTAAATATAAGATAAATTTATTTTTAGTCTCTCAAATTTAAAATTATCGTATTTAATTTTTAAATTTTTAAAAATTTAATTTTAGTCTCTTATATCACTAATAACACATCTAAAAATGATAATTGAAACAATTATACAACATAAATTTTATTTAATATGAATTTTCAATATTAGGATAATCATAGATAAATTTTATACGATAATATTTGATAGATTTTTTAACAAAATTTAAATATTAAAGATCATTTTTTTAAATTATATAAATTTAAAATAATAATTTTAAATTTAAAAGATAAAATATAAATTTAAAAAACTAACATATATTTAAGCAAATAGATTTTGGTTGTATGTGTTGGGGTTTAGTGGGATTTATCTATCGAACCCGCATTCACCATTTAGCACATATATAAAATCTAATTTCGAAGTTTGGCTTTTCGTGAGGGTTTAGTTGAAGGCACACAGCTTAGGCCTCAGGGAAAAAGGGTTTCTTTCATTCTCTGCAATTCGCCATGGCCGACGACGACTATGATGACATGGACATGGGGTACTCTCTTTTTATCACTTCCTCTCACACACACAGAAATTAGGGTTTTCCCAATTCAATTTGCTTATTGAAAACTCTCACTGGAAATCCAGACGAGAGTCTTTTAACTTATGTCCTTTTGTTCCCTATGTAAATATTTAAGCAAAAATTAAAACTTTTCAAATGTTCCTTTACTGGTGTTGATCACGTCTGCTTTTCCTCGTCAACAAAAAATTATGCTTCATGTTTCAATTGCCAGGGTTAGAGCCCTGTCTATTGTAATCTGTATATTTCCATTGAATGATACCTCACGGGTGGTGATGCAGGTACGAGGATGAGCCCCCAGAGCCTGAGATTGAGGTAAAAAATTTATTGACTTGTGTCCTCTCTTTGTATTTGCACCACAAATACATGTTATGGAACTTATCGTTGAAAGATTTAAGTTGAAAGATTTAATGGAATTATTTGTTGGTGGATTAATTGATGGGTAGGAAGGTGCAGAGGAGGATGCGGAAAACAACAAAAACGATGAGTTAACTGGAGAGCCACTCGAAGCTGAGGATAAGGAAGAAGGACAACCGGTGGAGCGGCCTCGGAAGACATCAAAGTATATGACTAAGTATGAACGTGCCAGGATTTTGGGTACCCGTGCTCTTCAAATCAGGTTTTGTTCAGGACTTTTGTGAGTTTAAGATTCTGCTTATTCAATATTTTGTAACATGTTACCTTTCTGGCTGAGCAGTATGAATGCACCTGTCATGGTCGAGTTTGAGGGGGAAACTGATCCACTTGAGGTAATAGAAGAACCTTTGGTTCACTACTTCACTTTGCTTTGATACTGTGTTTCTTTCAATGTTACTGTGTTTGAGCACATTGTGAGTATTTCATTGCCAATCTTGCTTGGTATGCAGTTTTGAATGTCCAAATATATGTTGGTACAGCTATATGTTTTTCATATAAAAATGTAGAGAATATTTCATTGAGAAGCTTCCACTTTACAACTTTAGTGATCTCCTAACTCCTTAATTGAATGGCTTGCCATGGCATGCACACTGCTGACGTTGGGCTTGTATGTATTGAAATTTCATTTATAACTCTGCAATTGCACAAATCTGCAGCTAAATGCATGGGTAAAAGATGGAATTCTGTCTCTTCATATATTTGTTTTAATTAATAGATATTCCTAAGATGGGAGGATCAGTTTACATCAAAATATGTTCATTTTTCTCTTATACTTATAACCTTTTTTAATAAGCTTGGAGATTACTTTCCCCCATCATAATTTGCCTTCCTTTGTCTCTGGCTCCCTTAAGAATTGGTTCTGGGATTTGTTCATAGCTTAAAATAGTTTGTTTTTCTGTTTGGCCAATGGCTTGCTCCTCCTTTTAATATTCCAATGTTATGTGAAACTCTTGTTTTCTATGCAAGACTAGTTTATCATCATTATTGACCTTAACTGATAAGTTCTACGAACTACTTCAGTCTTCCAATATTGAATCTTGTCACGTTTATTTTATTTAGGATTTAAGTAAAAATTTTCTTAGATGAGCAGTGCACCTTGTATTATTGAAGTAGTGTTCTGTTATTGTTTAATGTTATTTGATTCTCAAGTTCTTTGGTTTCCTGAAGAATGCACTCTGCATGCCATTCTTGGAATTAGTTGATTATAATCTCTGATTTTATTCACTGATAAGAACGATGTCCAATATTACCTGCTTTACAGCTTGCCTCTTGAGCATGTTTACTTGCCTTCAATATGTCATGTTGAACTTTTTTTTTCTTCCTGCCTGTCTTGTAATTTTATTTATTTGTTGTAGACTTGTAGAGAGTTCTCACAAAATTTTCCTTACTAGGATTCAGGAACACAAGTGTTTTGTTTGTTACCTCTGCTATATAACATCTGAATATCTGATATCATGTTCTTCTAACTTAATAGATTGCCATGAAGGAGCTTCGAGAGCGGAAGATACCCTTTACAATCCGGCGCTACTTGCCTGATGGAAGGTAAATACTGGCCATTATATGAGTTAGGAAGTTCTTTTTCTTGGCTGGGGGAGTTAAGGATGATAACATCCTTTATGCCATATTGACTGTTGTCATTTTTGCTAAAATTGTCCAGCTATGAAGACTGGGGAGTTGATGAACTGATTGTGGAAGACTCCTGGAAGAGGCAAGTGGGCGGTGATTGATTGTTGACAGAGGTGGGAGGAGTAACAGGCACTAATATTTGTCTTCTCATATCTTTTATCTTTGGCTTGATTGAGGTTGATACTAATCTATGATTCCCCACCTTAAACTTTGCTTACAGCGATGTCTATGTATCCCTGTTGGTGTAATCTCTGTTTCAACTTGTTTATATATACAATATATCTCTAGGCGTTCAATAGTGGTTCTGATTTTTCAAATCAACTATCGGGACACCCCTAGCTCAACGAAGATTGGAGTGATACTTTTTAATATTTGTTCTCTAGTAAGCTTCTTGTTGTCTTTCTCTAGTTTCTTACTGTTTTGTGGGAACATTTTGGAAATATCAGTTATACCGTCCCTAATGAAAAATGATGGCAAGGCAATATTTGGATATGATTAGATTGAGAAAACATTTTATATTTTATTTAGTTTCAAAAATGTTATCTTGTCTTCTTTTTGTTGTATAAAGTTTATATAAAAATAGTGAAATAACTTCATAAATCAAACGGTCTTTTGTTTTTAGGGCTCTATTTGCACAAGGGCGCACGGATAGCATTATGGTCATTAGGAAGGAATTCAATCCTTGATATTTAGGGGTTCAACAAATGTGTTTTTATGGTGAATTTTTAATTGCCTTGCTGAAAGAATAAAAATATCAGGCTATTAAGATGTTGCTTGTAAATAAGAATGTGGATTTGGATCTCCGTTAACGCCTAGATAACCTACTAGCAAAGAAGCAGAATTGGCGAATAGTTGTCCAGAGAAGGGTTTATACTTTATAATGAAGCCACTGTGAATGGAAGCAAGCTGACGCTCTAGATTAGGTGTAAATTCGGCTTCAGGCCTCGTTATAATGGCTCTAGGGCCTTTTAGCCAACCTAATTAGGGGATCAAAAGTTCTCAATCTACACAACTTACTTAGCTCACATCATGACTATTTTAAAAATATATTTCTCAATTTATTTGAGAAATATTTATAATTTATGCTCAGTATTTTCGCTTTATCACTTTAATTTTGGAATTAATATGATGAAAAAAAATTATATCTTTGTTTTAAAAAAAGTATTTCATGTACTGGGCCTTAACTAAAACATCTTGATCTTGACATCTTCTAGTTAGTTTCAATAAAGACATCTTGGACTTGGTCTTGATAAGGATATATAAAGTCTATTTAGATGAGTTAAAAGTATTTTTTTTAATATTTTTTTATTAAAAATTATTTTTAGTTGAGAAACCTTTTAAAAAAATTTATTTTATCTCTACTTAGGTTCTTATTCAACTTCAACAAAGGCTTCTTTGACTTGATCTTTATTTGTTGGTGTATTTTCATGAATTTCCTATTTTTTACAAATGGATAAATTTTTTTTTGGTATACACGCTATAAATATATATATATTTTTTTGCATAAAGTTATTTTACATTTTTTTTCTTCTAAATACAAAATATATTTGCTTACTTTAGATTTTAAACTTTAGAACATTACAAGTGGATAGATAAAGCATTTTTACTTTTAATTATGTGAAGTTTGAATACAAACTACAAGGGAAATATATAAGGTGGTTCTATTGTCATTTTTCATCTAAGCAAACATAGAAGCAATAAAGCTGATATAGCTAGAATGACTGTCCGTCGAATTCAATTGAGAATTAAACATTCCGAATTTCCGAGACGTGAGAAGTTTAGTTTTTAAAACTGAAGACATACAATGAATAAAAACGTGACAAATGTTAAACATCTTTTTCAAAGCAAATGCTACGCAGGCAACATTACAACAATAATTGTTCTCAGCTACTTCCGAATTTGATGGGTTTCATATGCCTTTTTCATTATTACATTCAAGCAGTACATTTTGTATAACTGTCACCACAATAACTATGAAAATAAGAAGAAGAAAAAATACACGGTAACCGTAATTATCGCCGTTTTAGTATATGATTTAATTTCTTTTGCAGCTCATCATGAATGATAGAGTATAACTCTGGCAAAGGATAGGATGAATATTTTTCACTAGAAGACTTTATACTATGAATGATCCCATGACACGTAGTTGATGTGGTTGGTAATAACATTATTATTCACATAGTTTTGTGTATTTTATTTTGTGAGGACTGTTTTGTTCTGTAGTTAAAAAATACAGAACCTATGACCTAAATCTGGATCCATCTGTTAGGTGAGAAATTGCTTTTTATGCGGCGTAAGAATGAAGGAAAGAATATAGGACCAACTTGGATTTGGACTGCTCAAAATATACTACCGTTTGTCATGGACCTTGAACCTCTTGACCCACAAGAACTGCCTCTTCTTTTGGAAACAATTTTCAAAATAACAAATTGAAGAATGAAGATACATGTTCTCCATAAATTTTGATATGTGTTTCGTAGAAGGCATTCCAAACTTTAGATAACTACAACTAATTAATTATTAGCACCAAATAACAATAATTAAGCAGTAGCGACCGAAACGATATATGATGATTTATATTTGTTTGCCTTTTCTATTAACTAAAGAAAATGCAATCCTATACACAAAATCCGCACGACATTTAAGATGCAAAGGCTAAATTTTATCGTAAAATAAGGAAGCTCTTCAATTTATTAAACTGCATATTATAATTAGTTTTACGAAACCAACTAGGTTCTGTTGATCTATTGCTTATGTTGACAATTAAGCAGAAAAAAACGAATGAAGACTAGTAATATTCATTATGTTACCGTGTTTACACTATTTTCTATATGTTAGTGACATTGACACATTTTAGTCGTTTGAAATTTATTCAAGCAAATATTGCTGTCATATTTTGAGTCGTGTTTAAAGTGGTTTCTGACTATTGATTTAAAACAATGAGTATCGCTCAACATAAGTTAAAAAACATTACTAGGAGTCTTAGACATGGCAGAATCATGATTTTTGGTCATGGTTCCTATTTATGAGAATGAAACATCAATACTTCAATTTGCTTCACGTATCCGTATCCGATACGTATCGGATATGATACTCTTGGATACTTCACCGATACTTGTCAATTGTACCTGTCTAGGGGCACACTCGCACTCTGCAGTGGGGGAAAGGGCCGAACGAGGGTCTTCAGGTGGGCTCTTCTGCGCGAGGGGGGAGGTACCTGCAAAATGCACTCCAACGCTCAAGTCAGGACAAACACGATATTCTAGGGTAATTAATGAACAGTGACATACCTTGACAAAAGTGACCTATTTATTCTACCACTGATGGGCCTTGTCAGTAGTGGGCCTCTCCTGAAGTTTACCAAATTAGGTAATACGCCGCTAATAGGCTCATTATGCTTTAATCACGTACTTATTCTCATTAATCACGGTGAAGGCTATAATTATTATCTCGTCCCTTGGCTCGGCCTTAGGCCGTGCCGTTTACATGTTTGCTGCACCTTTCGGCCCGGCCTTCGGCCGAGTCGTTACATGTTTACTGTGCTGTTATACTTGATCGGCTTCTGTCTGAGCCGGTGTATGTCATCTTGCGAAGCCCACGGTTCTGTTCGTATCGACCTCACACCGAGCCGATCGCGCTATCCGACTCATAACATACTTTCGGTTGTAATCCGAGCCAGTGCTAATGTTAAGGCTTTTAGGGTTATTCACCTTGCGTGGGTGTCTAACGGCAAGACACTTGTTGGTCCGCGTGACCGATAGGGTCCTTCCGGTACATCAATAAAGTATCTTAGCTTTTAAAAATATTATGAAATTTTTTTTCCATTCCGATACTCTCAGATATTTCACCGATACTTATTGGTGATACGTATCGATAAAGTATTCAAATTTTTGAAAAATTATGAATATCCATTACAGCTAAATAAGATATATAAACATGTTTAATATAGAAACATAGAAATATTGTTCCTTGATGAACTGTAAATAAAAATTGTCTTCTATATAGATAATTTTAAGAAAAGAATGAAATTGGTAATATTATTTCTATTTGTAAATAATAAAAAGTAATTTATGATGAAATGATTTATAATTTATTTATTTTTAGTAATGTACAATAAATATGTTTTTAATTTGAATTTGCAAAATAACAATTATATATTTAATGTTTATGAATTTTGATCAAAATTACAAGTACACACTTATTATATTATATGAACATTGATACATATGATGACACGTATCTTACGTATCCTATATATTTTAAAATAATCGTATCGCCGTATCGGATACGTCTCGTATTCAATACGCGTATCGTATCGGTGCATCATTATTGAGAAGACTTTTAGTTAACATGTTAATCAAAACCAAACCAGTATGTAGAAACCTCGATTAGGAGATGACGTAGGAAGATTAATTGTCTGCAATTTGATTTTGTTACTCCAGTGCCATTTAATTTCCTTTTATAACTCTTGGAATGAGTAAATATTTCTTTCTCATATAAAGTTTTTCCCGATTATATTTGGACAGATGTCTATAACCTTCATAAAAGAAGCTCACATGAATTTGAGAGAAATGTACATTTAATGTCCTGAAAACAAGAGTCGTGTTTCTTGCTTGTGTCTTTTTTTAATTATTTTTTATTTTTTATTTTTATCATCTATAGTCCCTGAATGAATGGAAAACAGTATACTGTAACCTTCAAAATAGTTTTTTTTATTTATTTTATTTTATATTATATTTTATTTTATTTTTTTTTTATAATTCTATTGGTGTTTTTTATTGCAGGGATGATTTCGAGCAAACAATTTCAGAACTCCAAAAATTTAGGAAAGCAACATGGATGCAAATGCTCAGAGTAAGCTCGACTCAGTAAATGTTGGTTTAAACAAATTAATTCATAAGTATATTTTTATTATTTAAATAAGTCAATTTAACGTTAACAAGTCGCAAATAACTTATATATATATATATATATATATGAGGGGGTTATAATAACATC